TCTGAGCCTTGGGATTTCTAGTTTCTGATGAAGCTCAAAATAACAGAAACATTGAAATCAGTGTTTGACTATCAAGGCTTCTAAAGTTAAGCCACTACATGAAATTTATAAACACATTGACTATCAAAATTATTCACCCCTTTGGATTTGTTCATATTTAATGTTATATACAATATGCTGGGTACAGTGTAGAATCAAAATGTATATATCTGGGATTTTTTTGTGTGCTATTGATTAACGCAAAAAAGACATTTGGTTGCACCAGAGCCTATTAAGGTCTGTCCTAGTAAAAGGGATGAATACTTATGCAATCACGTATTTACTATTTTATATTTCAAAAAAATGTAGGAGGATCTGTAGGATTTTGTTTTCAGTATGATTTTATATGGTTTTCTGTTTCCTGTCAATCGATCAATCTCCCAGTTAAATACATTACGATATTCGATATTGTAACACAATAAAATATAACAAAATGTCCAAGGGGGTGAATCCTTTTGATAGCCACTGTAAAGACATAAAACTGTAAGATGGCAGCAAGATGTGTAGAACGATTAGATAAGTTTGAATTTTGTATGTCTTTTCAGGAAAAACATAATCAGTAAATAAAATTTGTCTTTGGGTTTAGCGTTGTCATAAAAATGTTCCTAAACTGAAATTCCTGAGATGTCAATATAGGAATCTAAGACAGCCAATGCAATTTACAATGAATGTCATAAAATGCGAAAGTTAACAGTTAAAAATAAAGCAAGAATCAGTTTTTCTAGCATGTTCTGTGTTTCCCCCAGGATATACACTTGACATTTCAACTCAGTGAAAAAAAACAGGCAGTTTTTTTTCACCTTATCACCACTTTATCTACTTCCATTAGACAAAGGAACCCCAGGAGGCCGAACTTCCAGACCAATCCAGACCACTAAATCGGTATATTCTTGGCCAAAAATTGCTAACATCGGAAACATAGTTAAAAAAAGCTTAACACAACAGCCCGTAAGCTTGTGCATTTTGTAAAATGGCACATAAACACAAACAAACAAGGCCAATTTTGATAAGATATTCACAGCAAGGTATCTACTTTCTTAATACTATCTGTGTGCCACAACAATGGAAGAAGGCTATAATAATCCTTCTTAGAAAAGATTGTTTACCGTATGATATCATGACACCATATGAAAAGCCAACACTGTGGCTAAGGTGACAGGAATAGGCAGACAACACAGCATTCAAAGTTGCATGCTGCTCTGGGCCAGAATGCCTGCTGCTCAATGAGGGTGACTGAAAGTGAGAAACTAACAGCCCCCTCCTGCCAGTTAATGAAGTGTTAAGGAGTAGGCCCCACTGAAACCAAGGCCAGCTGACAGATGGGCTTTTCTGGACATGCCCTTTCGTGACAGCTGCTTTGAGGTCAAGGGTCAAACATCTCCAGCTGGTAGGTCTGGGCGACTGCCAGTTTCCTCTAACTTCATTAAAACATCCCTAAGAAAAGGGTGAAGTCTGGACTTGTTTCATACATCCCTGTGTGTGTGGAACAAGACAAGAGATACTGCTGAGAGGCAGGAAAGATTCTCTGATCTTCAGCTGCTGGTATCATTAATCATGTCATCTCTAGGAGATACCTTCTCTGAAGTGGACCACCTAGGTCCCATCATTTACAAGGGGGTTGTTAGGTCATGGTCTCCAAAACAGATATATATCGAATGCTTGGTGCTATATAAACAAAACTGCTCTGATCAAGAGAAAACAAACTGTGTGTGAAGAAAAAAAGTTAAATGTATTTAGTCATGATCACATGTCATGTTCAATTTTGTTCACCATGAAGTTCAAGATGTAAGAACAACAGTCTCCTTAAAAAATGGTTTTAGGGTGAGGCTCTATCCACCAAAATAAAACTCAATGGTAAATGACATTCAGAATGCCAAGTACACGACTGATGCCTACAGGAGTTTACACCCGATGCTTATTAAAAAGGACTATCATAATTACAGAACATTCCAAGATATGAATATTACATTTTTTCCAAAGCAATTTTTGGTTTACATTTTTAATAAAGCAAAATTAATATTAAATATTAAAAACAAAACCTTACATTTGAATAGAGAACATACACTTAGCAACAACTGAGCTGACTTGGAACAAACTAAAATTACTAACGTTCACAGTTTGAATGGTGACTTGTAATACAGCATCTCTGAAACAGGGAGGATGCACTCCACAATCTGATAAGACTACAAAATTTCCCTCTTCACATTGTGCGGGACTACGTACAAGCGCCATGTCTGAAACACTGAAATACTGACATCTTTTGTTAAATAAAAAGCAAACTTGTCATTACAGTTTCTTAAACCGATACAAAGAAGTAAAGATACTCAAGGGTCTGTCACTGAACCAACTACATGGCTTGAATTGAAATACTTAAAAACCCAACTGTAAGATAACTGGGAAGAAGCAGTGACTGTGGTCATCTCTAATTTATTTTGCGACGCGTGGCACTTGAGCAATTTGCAAAGAAATAGTTCCTCCCTATAAATATCTGCTAATCCACTTTTACAGCTTGCTTGCTTCCTTTATAGTAAAGATGTCGGCAGTAAATAAGCTTCCCAGCAGCTCTTCTTTGGCAGCGCGACTGCAGTGATTAAAAGCGTTAAGAGGAATGGTTCCAGCATTGAACCTGGCAGCCGAGATACTTTTCCTGGCAGATCCATTCAGGTCCGTCCAATGTGGAGAATACAACCAGCTGCACTTTCCAGTAAAGAGCCTGGTTAATCCCCTGTCACTGCAGACAGCAGGGAATACACAGCTATGAGGGAAAAGCTGCTGTAGTATCCATTCAATGAGAACAAAAAGGATAGACCATTTGCACTTTTTCAGTTTTATTTTCTTTCCTTCTTTGGACCTACTGTATGCACTTGTACGTATATGGAAGGATAAACACCTGAATGTTTAATAATTCCTGTCCCATTGACAAACATGGAAAAATAACACAAGCCTGCAGAGGATGAGTTAAAATAGTTTACAAAACAGAGTGAGAAGGTGGTGATCATAAGTTTTCCTACGTTGCTTGTAAACACCTCCACAGTTGTTTAAGGCAGTCCCTCAAAAAAAAAAATAGTTATCGTATTGGTCAAAGCGAGATGTTCAGGGGAAAAACCAAACAATGGGAAATTATCAAACCTTGTGTGATCCCTGTCAATGACATACAGTCAGTCTTGGTTCATTTGCTGTGCTGCTTGTCAGTTCTATAGATCATTTTATACTTTCTGGTTTAATAACCACTCAGCTCTTACGAAAATAATGTTTTATAAGTTCTACTTCACTGAAAATGTGTACGTTCCTGCTGAAAGTGAGAACTGCCATTACCTATCTACCGCAAGTAGATATACCAGTACCAATACAGAACTGCAGAAATGCAGTAATAATATTCGGCCTTAAACATTCAACATGGTTCAGCTGTACTTATTAAGACAATTGCAGCAGAAATCATTGGGTCACCATATAGGAATGAGGAAGTTTAATTTCTTACTTTATGCAGCAGAATAGCCTCTGTAGAGTTCAGGTATCAGGCATGACTGATGCCTAAATGTATTCTATCAAAATATTACCAAAGTAGGCACCACGGTTACCTTGGACAATCTAAGAAGATTTAAGTAATAAGAAATGCATCTTGAATGGGAAAAGAAAGTGGAATAATTTTTGCTTTAACTGAGGAGATTCAATCTGTAAGGATGGCTGAATAAGAACAGAAGAAAGAACGTAAACAAAAGTAGGCCATTCGGACTTGATCATTTCTTAGTTTAGTACATAACTGAAACTAAGATTTTGGGCAACTGCTTCTTAAAAGCGCCCACAGCATGGGGACCTTTTCTGAGTCAGCTCTTTTTGAAAATAATTCCCTGTCCTTTTCATTCTTCTTTAGTTTCCTTCCTGTTGTGATCCCATGTTCTCCTTTGCTACTGAATTAAAAAAAATAATCTGGATCTACCATATTTACACCCTTAGGATCTTACATACTAAGATCAAATCTTCTCAACATTAATATCTCAGACAATATTTTTTTGTGTGTGGTAACCCAAACTGAACACAATATTCCAACTGAGATTTTACTGATGTATTGTAGATTTCAAGCATAACTTTCCTGGATTTAATGTTTCTAAATACTGAATATTAAACTTCTTAATACCCAAACATTGTTTTTTTTAATATTTCCACATAATTTAATATTTACTGATTAATCCAAGACTTTAATGCAGTTCAGAAATACCTAACGTTTCCAAAAACGTTGAGTTCAGATATGGAAAGGCAAAACAGTGAGGTTTCAATTTTTTTTTCAGCCTCGAGTCACAGACACAGAGTTTAGGTTTCAATGATTCCTGCCACAGCAATACCTGAAAGTCTTAATTTCATTAAATTTTGGTCACAAAAAGCAAGGTATGCACAAACAGGAGATGCTAGAGTCTAGGATTTCAAGATTACAAAACTGTGTCATGTCCACCGAGGCCTGTGATATATACAGCATGTGGTATAGTAGAACTTTAACCCGATATTCATGCTTATGACACAATCTGCATTCTGAGGACTGAGAGCAATGGCAGAACTTTGAAGGGCAAAGAAATTGTTTGATCAAATTATATGCCCATTTGGAAATGAAACAGTTTCATTGTGTCACAGTTAATAACTAAACTGGGAAATCCCCCCAGAATGCATTAAACATATTCTGCATGTCCGTGGATAACCTCTTAAAACAGGCACATGATTGTAACACAGGGAGATCCCCCGATTATGTTAAAATGCTGCCATGAAACACGTTTCTTATTTGGGCAATGCAGATCTTAATAAATGCGTCTCTACATGCATTTCTACAATGGGGCTTGGGGCAGCTTGGGGCAAACTCTGCCCTTTGTTTTCTGATTGTATCCATTTAGCTGTAATATAAAAGCATGACAAGCTATTGTGAGAACAGTTAATAAAAATCAGACTCATGACAAATATGCTAAACAAGACAAGAATCATAAAAAACAGCAATATTTATTGACATCAATTGCAATGTCTTGTCAGAGGTCTTCATGGCAACAAACAGGAAAACATATAAACCGTTTTGTTTCAGCATATTATTCCTACATATATCCGAGCTATACAATAGTATGCTAAATTAATACATTTTTTGGATTGTGAATGATTCAGAAACCAACATATCACAAAAGGCTGGAAGAACTGTCTTTGGTAAAGCTACTGAAACGCGCTGAAAACACTGCATTTCCAGCTTTGTTCTTTTTAGATATGAAATATTTAGAAAGCAGCTCACAAAGTCCTGGTATGACTGCACAGCTGCCTGCGTCTGGGTTATTCATTAATGGAGGCTCTCTGTTGTGGCAGTTTAAAAGGATAAAGGAATTTAAGTTATCACAGGGAAATCCCCACATTTTTTCCAGTCTGTCATGCACTCATTTACGAGGGAGAGAGAAGATTTTCTGGAAGACAAAAATACATCTGTAAAAAATAAAATTGCATTCTGCCCTGAAGTTCCTTTGTTTGTAAAAACCTAATGAAATACAAACAGGATTTTTACAAACTTTCCTCTTTGTATAAAAAATAGTCTAATTGGAAGTTACATACCATATAATGTGGTCATTTGTTTAAAATGCATTCAATGGGGAAGTTTTTATTTGTTCAACCCATTATTGCCTCCTGCCTGACATTCCCTTTTAATGACTGGTTCTGATTAAGCATTTTAAAACCAACCCTTTCATTCTGATCGATTGCTCTAGGCATTCTAAGCCTAACCCATTCAAGGCTAGATAAAACTTAATTGACAAATCGACTAAAAAACATAAATGTCAAAGGATACATTTTAGTTTCGTTACAAGTACTACTTCGACTTCTAAATTGTTTTTGAATATTTCAAACAAGTATTTATTTTAAGTACTTTTTATACTTTAAAACATTTAAAGGTCAGCTTCTGACGTTTGGCCTTTAAAAGTCAACAATAAATATAACAAACGAGAACAGATCATCTACTAAAAAAGCTACAGGAAACTTAGTTGACAAGACTACTAACATATTGTCCAAAATATTAGAAGTGATGCTTGCCATCAATAATTTCTGGCAGTTGTCAACTGTCATAACATTGAATAAATAGAACTGCAGAGCCTCAGTAATGAGCAAAAGGTCTGCATTAATAATACTATAGATGGTAAAGAAAATACACAATCAGGAACCCTTCAGATTTTACAAAACATGACAACCTTGGAGACACACCACATAAATATAAATTAAATATGAACTTAACTTATATTTGATACTGGACAACCTTACAGGCAGAATTTTGGTCTCCATCCTACCCAAAGGAAAACGGTGAAAAAGGGTGGGGTCAAGACCCTGAAAAATCATCTTATGCATGTTTTGTATCAATATCACTTCTCTGATTTCAAAAGCTTAAGTTTTTTTTTTTTACAGATGTACAGATTTTAAAAAAAATATAAGTCTGACTACACTTCCATTTATGTTCTGAATTGGTTACATTTCAAAACTGTCTTCCTTGGGATTTCTGTGGTCCTGAGTCAAATAATATTTCCATTGCAATATAACACAGTGGTAGAACAGGTGAATGCTTAAAGAAAGTGACAGAATGTATTTCTTATTTGCCTTATTTAAAGCTGCTATACCGAAAATGACATCCAAGAATATGTGATCTGCTGCCTAGTTTTTATGATTGCCCAATATGTGAAATAACATAAATATTCATGCCAGCAATAATTATAGTCACATATTTACTCATTTAGACGGTCTTTTTATGAAATGCAAAAGGATTATTTTAACTTTGTCTAAAGTTCTCTAGGATGAAAAATATTTCTTAAAAATTAAAAGACATTCAGGTACATTTACTAATAAAATATAATATGTCAGTTTCAATTGACTGCTCAGAGAATCCATACCTTTGCCCTCGGCATGCTTCACATCAGCTCGAATGCTAAGGATTCCAGTAATTTCTTTAAAAAAATACAGATGGCAGGGAAAATCATTACACAGCTGGGCTCTGTCCAAGTTCTGCCTGCATAAGGCTAATGAATAATGATGATGGCTGAAGACTGTGAACCTTAATAGTGTTTCTCTGATAAGTGATTAATTCTTATATAGGAAAAAGGCTTCCATACTTACTTGGCAGTGCTTCACCATGAAGCATGACAATGACCCAAAGCTTAAAGGGGAACAGCAAAATAAATTAACTGACAGTATCCTAAAATTTTACGAATTCCCAATTAAGCACAAATTTGTGAACTCTGTGAAAATACTGTATGGTTGCCATGTTATCGCAAACCGCCAATTTTGCCACGGGCCCTTCCTGCTCACTAGTCATTGTAATGACTAATGTAATGCCAGCGAATAAGTACGATTTGTGCAGCACACATTTGACCACAGAAATGTTCCAATGTGAACTTCATGCAGAGTTAACAAGTAGTATATAGATGCGAAACGGTCTCAAAGTCAAAAGCAATTTTTCGATTGGATTAAAAGGGATGTATTCGCATGGCTGTTTTGTTGCCTCGTTCTGAATCACAGACAATGATGGCAATATGGTGCTATACATAGCTGGAAACTTTCTCTTTTTCTGATGTAAATTGGAGGTTTTACATATTACTGTGTACATTTTACTTTCATTGTCGTTTGAAATGCACTCGCCAATGTCAATTTTTTCTATCCCTGAAATATAAAAATGATCATTGCAATTCCCCTTTAAGGCCAATGCAAACAAGCAGTTCAACAAAAGCACAAAAAGTAGAAAAACCTAGACTGGCCAAGTCGATCTCCAGGTGTAAATCCTATTGAACACACTTTTAACGTGCTCAATAGAAGACTGAAGTCGGAACAACCCAAGAACAGGCAATAACTCAATGTGGCTGCAGCAAAGCATGTCAAATGTTCACACGAAGACTTTGATGAGCTCAGAAGGTTGGAGACCTCATGCCGTCATTGACTCAAAAGGAAATGTGACCGATACTGACTTTCACGGAAAGCATCAAAATGAATGTGTCCCAATACTTCATTATTACCCAATACTGGTCACTTAAAATCAATAGGAGGATCACAAAGTATGTTTTTGTTTTCCCCCAATTTGATCAGATGTATTCATGGTAGTATCAAAAATATTTTATTGTAAATAATCTCATGATGACAGATACAAATTGCTTAGCTGTAAAATAACAAGTCGTAATGTGTTGTCCCAATACGTCTGGAGAACACGGCATATTTGGCCAGAACAAGGAATAAAAAAGGTTAAGCTCCTGTTAACCTTCCTCTTTTGCACACATCAATACCTTAATGCGTCTCGAGACAGGTGCACGTACCCTGCGCATGTATTAGACTAATGTGATCCATTCAAGTGGAAAACCGTTGCTGGGGCCCAGGCTGAGGGGCGGCCCTGTTTTGCATATCCCAGCCTAGACTGTCTAGCAGCAGTTCCCTTCTGTGTGAATAGGACCTGTCATCTCCTTTCTGTGCTGCGAAAGGGACGGGGTGACCCTTTCACTTGCGCTGCAGGTTTAAGTAACGGTGGTGGTCCCGCGGTCGGGTGCCCTTGCGTCTCCACGGCAGATGGGGCCGGGCCCCCCGGCTGCCTTTCTTCAGCGCGTGGAACTTCCAGGCCGCCGCAATCTGCTCCACCTGCCAGACCGAACAAAAAAAATGGCGTTGTCTAACCTGTTAAATTGATTTTCTTGCTCCCGCGCAACGGAGCCCTGGTTGCCGCTCCTTCAGCTCCGGCAAGAGGCGATGTATTCATCTTCTTTTGAGCCGTGTTGACGGCAAGCGCAAACTCCCAACCCTAACAGATGCACACTTCTTCAATGTCTTTTTTTATAGTCACTTTCTCATTTCAGTCTAGGCAGTCAAAAGACATTTTGTAAACGCTGTCGTAAATGGAATCCTTCACAATCTCTAACACATTTCTTGCTGAATACGCAACACTGTATATATGTATATGGTATAGTCGGTATTTTACAATATCTCTATTTTATTTTTGTTTTAGATGGGTACTGTAAACTGAACTACTGTCTTCACCAACTGCACTTCCCTCTTTAAATGACCATCAGAAAAGGCTAGCAGATACCCAACAAAAGAACATTTCCTTGTTGGTTAAAGAAACACCCCCTTAACCTGGACTGCTAGGTGACATTACTATAGGAGTGCATGGCCTCACACACTGTTGAAGACTGACGTTGCATTAGCATCAATGTTTATTTTGATTCTTTGTACCCAGGGTTGCCCTAATGGTTCCAGTTGGTGCTTTCTTGTTCTGCCTTAATTTCCAAATGATCTGTTAAGGCTTCCACACATCTTTTTGCAGAACCAAGTGCCTGTTCTCTTGACTGACGGTGTCAAAGGATGTGAATGATGGTATTCTGGCTTCTCTTAACCTTCACAACAACGTTATTAACTGCTGGCAGCAGTGCTTCTGCAAATGTCTCAAAAGCCAAACAGAATTCATATTTATGATGACTGTGTTTTATGGTTGTCTGCAAACCTACTCTTCCACTTATCGGTCTGGTTTTTATAGGTGATTATAATGCTTTTTCAGAAATGCAATGGTTGTCTGTTCACTTACAACAAGTCTCTTTCTACATATACGAGAGGTACTGCACATGCAAGCATATTGTTGCACCAGCAAGACTCAAGAAACAAATTACCACAAATAAATTTAAAACACTGTGGTAACAATGCTATTAATTTTGACTGCTAGCAAAAATGCTAACCACAAAAAATTAGTTCTGCGTGTTTTAACTCTTCACGTTACCAGAGCAATACCACAAAGAAAAAAAATGGTTGAAAAATCTAAAGATTTTTTTAGAAACAACTAAAAACAGTAGCCATATCTGCAACATCTGCTGTATTAGGTTAAGTAGATTGTACATATCAGTTAAACAGTACTGAAGTGGACTAGTGTTAGATTCTCCAGCTAATACCTGATACATCAAAAAAGCAAGCAAAAAGGCCGCCTAACACCAACATAAAATTAATAATTTACCTGGCAATAAACTCAAAACTTTGAAAAAATACCAGCAACCTATTCATTCAGAATTCATAAGAAAATTGAAACAGCCAATGTGCTAACATTTTAGACTGTTATATCCTAACAATCTCAGCAGAGAAGAGAGGAGCAGCTTAATGTTAATGAATAAGGTCCCACTGTCACAGCTAGAGTTTAGGAGCCTTCATACGCAGGATATCTGACTAGCACATGACATCACTAATGTCTGTCACAGCACCTGCATTCCAATTACACCAGGACACTGCTGTGATTTCTAGCATTGGTATTCAGCACATCACATTAATCCTACCTCCCTTTGGGCAGGCGGCCTTCCAACACTTTGTAAAGGGTATTAAACTAATCCCTTAAAATGTAAAGGTAATGGTTGTCATTAGTAGCTGGCTTTAGCATCTAAAATCTCAATTGCCTGACAGAAATAAGAAAAGCACCAGGACTCACAACTCTTCTCCAGTATTCCTTCTTGATCCATGGAATACATAACATAACATTACTTAACCTCTCTTACAGTGTAACTACTTCATTCCACTGTAGCTCAAAATTCATCAGTTCAAAGAAGGGAAAAGAATAATTAGTGGTGTATTGTAATTTGCAGTGGGCTGTACTTCTCATGATTTAAAAAAAATTAAATGACCATTAAGGATAAGAATTCAATTGAAGCCTAAAGCCGTTTAGAACATGTTCTGATTAAGTCAACAAAAAAGTGTAGACATAGGGCTGAAGCCTTTTAACTTATTACAAACAGACAATTTTAGAACAAATCTCTCTTTCACTCTGGGGAAAACCAAATTTAGAAAGAACAGCAACAGTTTATAACATAAACTGAATTTTTTAACTTCATATAAGGTCTAGACATCTACAAGTAGATCAGAACATAATAAAGTATGCTAATTTGGCTTGGATTTAACATTCCAAGAAGATTACAGGATTTAAAACAGTCCCCATATAGTTGACATATACGAAGAGGTAAATGTTTAATTTTCAGAGACAAGGACGAAAACAGTGTATGGGGCAGAAAAGTTCAACTGAAGTGTGTAACCTCAAAAGGTTTTTGCACCCACTCACTGCAACTGTGAGCAAGATCTGCAGGAGACAGTTTGTTGCTTGAGATGTGGTGGTAAGTGACAAACTAAGACTCGCATAAACTTCAGGTCTTGAGCTTGTATCGGCTGTGTGCATACATACAGGAATAAGACCGTCTTTGTGATTTTCTTTTTCCAGGCTGGTGAGTTCCTCAGGGGACAGCAGGGACAGTCGCAAATGTGTCACAGCATCTTTGGCTACATCAGGAATGGGCAGCTCCAGAACCACCTTTGAACCATTCATAACACAAAGGCCAAATTTAGTTATACTTTTCACGGTCTTAAACTACCTCCATTTTCTTCCTTGGATTTCAAAGGAAAGAGCACCCTTAGATACCGTTTTAAAATAGAGAGCTTATCTTCCAGAAATGTTGATTTATGGATCTTGGGATTAGTCATTCAAACAGGTTACAGTTAATGGTATCTCATTTCTTACAGTACATTCAGAGATCAAGAATGACTATGTTGCACAAGAATAAACATCAAGCACTTATCACAATCAGTGCTTCAAAAAGGTGCACGCATGCAGGTCACTTCCGATGGATGCAATTAGCACTTTTATACAAACTACATGCTTTAGTTCAAAAGAGTAACAGTTTCGATAAGGCTGAACAAAGAGCAGGACACTCATCGCTGGTCTCATTAAAGGGCTTGGGCTCAAGGTGTGGCACTCATCCAGTTCCACTAAAGACATTCGACTTGAGCACAGCCACAAGGTTACCGTCTCCATAGAAACAGGGTCAAATCTCTCAGCACAAGAAGAGTTTTCACTCTGCAATTCTATGCCACCTTCAGATGTAAAGAAAAAAGTCTTTTGTTTAAAATCCTCTTTTTTTTCCCCCATATTTAGCCTAGGCTTCTGTTGTTTGTTTGAACTTGCAGGAGATACGTACTGAATTGACGTGTGCCCACTCACGCACAGCACACAGAAGGTCCAGCTCGTCGATCAGCAGCAGGTCACTTTGCAGAATGGACACCAATGCCAGATCAGAGAGCTCATGGAAGCCTCGAGTCTTTACAATCTCCTACAAACATGACAGCAAAAGTCAGAGATACTATATTTGAAATAATCTTAAAAGTAGTAGTTTAAAGCTGTGGTAAATGAAAAAGAGAGGGATTTTTAAGATGACATATTTGCAACTTGTTCCTCATTGGGGTACATGTTGAAAACAGTTTGCTCTAACCTCTGTATTCATTTTTATTTAGAAATATGAAAAAAAAACAAAAACAGAAGATAAGCAGACAATGACTTCGACCCCATAGGGAGATCCCTCACTTTCTGACACTACTTAGCCTGACACAAACAGCATCTGCATCTGATATCACTGCAGCATCAGACAACCTTTTCATACACTGCTTATATGGTTGCTAGGTAAACACTTCACAAGATTAGATACAGTTGTTCCAAATGTGTTAACAGAATGTTTCAGTTTCTAAAGCACACTCAGAGAGAACTGTGCTTAGGATGGTGGAAAGTAGCTTTGTTATTCTGGTTATACAATGCTGTAAAATTGTATCCACTATTAAGACACACAGGCACACTGGTTTTAAAAACAGGAGCAAACAAGTGCCCCTTTTTATAGTTTTCTCAAGTTTTATTCCAGTTCTCACTTTTCTAAAGTATTTTTATTGTTCTTATCCTTTACTGTATTGCCAGCAGCTATATCACCCTACAACTTACATTTGGCAGCCCACTGAAGCTCAGCAGGTGTGAGTCTGGCCAGTATCTGGATGGGAGACCTCCTGGGAAAGCTAAGGTTGCTGATGGAAGAGGCATTATTGGGGCCAGTAGGGAGTACTCCCTCTGCGGTCTGTGTGGGTCCTATTGCCGCACTACAGTAATGGGAACACTATGGTGTAGAAAAGGGCACTGTCCTTAGGATGAGACGTAAAGGTCCTGACTCTTCATGGTTATTAAAAATCCCAGGGTGTTTCTTGAAGAGAATATGGGTGTTAAACTCCAGTGGAATGGCCTCCTAATAATCACCATCTATTAATTGGTTTCATCACTCTGTTCTCCTCCACACTGATGGTAGTGTGTGCCGAGTGTACTGGTGCACTATGGCTGCTGTCGCATCATCCAGGTGGGGCTGCACATTGGTTGGTGGTGAAGGGAGTCCCCATTACTTGTTTAATGCTTTAATTGGAGTGTCCAGGAAATAATTCAATAAGTGTGAGGATTATTATTTAATTCTTTTCAGTGGCTGTACTGTAAGTAATTAAACATTAAATGTAAAATTGTGTTTCTTAAATTGCAAATTGCCATCCACGCAGTCTGTAATAATAAATCAGTTCCTCAACAAATTCAACCAAAGTTCTTTAGCAGAATAAAAATGTTATGTACTTTAAGGTTTAATGAAAGACAAGTGAAAGAAAACGTTTACAGGCAAAACTAGCTAAACTTAGTTTACTCATCAGACGTCACTGTGCGAACAGAATGTTTCAAAATTAAATGTCCATCCTATTTCATTTAACAGGTTGATTTTCTAATTTTCTATATCTCAAATAAGTTAAACGTAAATTACTGCACTTTTTTCAGCCTTATCCTAACTGTGCTAAAAAGAAACAAGAAAGTGTTGTCACTGACTTCGCCCTACCATAAAGTGGATCAATAAGCTAATCTCATTAATTTAAAATCAGAGCTGGCCTGAGCCTGGGAGCTATTTTTTGCATGTCTTCACAAGCTTTGCGCTCTTAAAGGAAGGTCGTGCTGAGGTGAGACAACTCAAAAATCCCTTCTCGCAAAGAAATGGAATAGCTCAAGCTTGTAATGTGTGACTTAACGTGTGAAGTGTTTAATAGCTACTAATACATTTCACTCTATCCCATAAACACAGCAGGTACAACAGCTGTCAAAGCCTGAAATACCATTTGCTGCTACAGAGTAAACACACAAGTCAGAGGCCACTGCAGGTCCCATGACTTGTTATTTTCTATTGGTTTATTTTATTCAAATTCATCATTGTACTTTTTATATCCCCAAGTTATGGTCAATCAATTGTTCAGCAAACTCACAACAGTCCTTGTGCCAGGAGAGGTAAAGAGGGGCGACCTGTTTTAATTATAAATATTTAGACACAGGCAAGCTATACAATTAAAAGTGTATTAACTTTGACAATTCCCCTTTAACATAAAGTCTCAAAAAACTTTGCTTTTTAACCTGCAGAATTTAAACTGAGCAGATGAGCCATTATTCTTACAGGAAGCTGTTTCATAACCAGCATGGTGCATTCTGCATCTAATTAAAAGAAGCAGGACTCAGGGTTCCTATTAGGGAGTTGTTTCAGTCTTAACCACATGACTCATTCACAGGATCCAGCCCTTGCTATTAACACCAGCAGTCTTCCTGCTTGGAGTCCCACTGAGCAATACAGCTCTGGCAGCCTTGATTCTGAGCTTCCACAATCACTTGGGGGGTGTGTTGATTTAAGGACAGGGAGGGAAGAAAAATAAATATGCATTAAGTAAAATGACTCATGCAGCCGAAAAAGGAGGATGTGATGACAGGTTTTTGATGTTTTCCATAGTAACGAGTTCCTCAGCTCAAGATGATCAACCTCAAGGTGTGGGAAGCTGCACATCGAAATGGATAGGATGGCGACTGCTAATTATCACACATTTCTGATTACACCAAGAATGCTTTCACACTTTCATCATTTCTTTTTTAAATTAGTGAAAAGCTACCTTGCATTCTAAATTAAGAGTTTAATTAAAAGCAAGAGACATTATATGTGTAGCTCATTATATAAGCGAGATGCATATCAAAAGTTATTCTCTTAAAACCATTTTACATCTTTAACGACCACAATCTCACATTTCTCATTTATATTTGGCAGTAAGAAAAACAATTACATTCCCTTCCCATGTGAATGAGAAAGGTAAATAATTCAGAATGTAGACTGTGCACATACTGTGAAAAGATGGTGTTATTGTACATAACGATAACTTAACACAAAAACATTTGTTCTGATTCTATATTGAAGGTGTCTCTTGGAGGAATTCACTTCTATGCACGATCTAGATCTCACAGACAACATCCACTGAATATGAAGTTGAAAAACGCTCTCAGACTGAAGATTCATGAAGTAAAAGCTGCAAGCTCACTTCTTCTTTAATACTTAATCAAATGTCCAAGGAATTCACACCTTTGTCTGCTTTGGAATCACAAGTCTTGCATCAGTGAATGGGTAAGTCGGTCAAATTTTGTTTTCTAAAGAGGTTTTCTTATAGTGGAGTCACAGACACTGACCACCTTTACCAAACAATCGCACAATGTGATGCAATTATGTAAATAATGTTTCAGTGCTGTACAGTTCTGCATCTACGGCAGATGGTACGTCACTATTGATTGGTTCAGGGCAGGGGGTTGGCATATCAATGTTTTCATATTAAAACCTTTAATATATTCAGACACATTCAACAGAAAAAGAAGGGTGAACTTTAGTGTGAATTGAATCTATCACTCTCATAAGTACAATCAGTAAAATGAAAGTTCAGGCAAAAGAAAAGGGTTGGCTATCTACATATTTGAGCATATGGACTGATCAGATGGTGAACAGGAGGTATTAATATGTGAATTTACATGTGACGGCAGCTGATTTCTTAGGTCTGTAATGTGACTTGAATCTCAACCAGGGAAATCACTCAGAAGAGATGACTCGTAATAACCTTGGGATACAAATGCTGATTAATTGCTTGGCCACCACAGTATTAAATAATTTGATTAATTCACAGGAAAGCAAATGCCAGTTCCAAGACTGTGCTTTTCTTAACATTGTCTACTCAACTAGAAAAGTAACATATGATGTAGACTTAAAATGGTTGTGAATATATACAGCATCCTTAAAATAAGTATTTAGTAATGAATCTTAATTAAAACTCATTTTCTTGTAATAAATATAAAAAGAATGTCCAGAAAAAGATGTAGTTAGGGGGAAAATCAACATTGTTAAAAGTAAGCTGGAAACTTACGTTGTGACTCTATAAGCTAACTTACTTCCTACAGACAACATTAAGAGCAATAGTAAAGTTAGGGACAGAATCAGACAGTTTTTTCCTTCATTACAGAGATGAAGAATTTACAAAAAACAAGTTTTAAAGGGGATTAGATACTAGTATGCACATGTGATAAATATGGTTATTATCTTTTTCGCACCTAACTTCATTATTCCTTTGTTGTATACAACTACTTATTTATTACTCGGAATAAAGGAAACCTATAAAGCAGAATGTAACTCATACTCTTGCACTCTGGCAGCGTAATTAAGTCGGATTCAAAAAAGTTGCCCGGTTATTTCATAACATGTATGCAGGACATTGCTCAATGTATAAACTTCTCAGCAAATCAGTCCAGAACCTACCAAAGTGTGGTTTTCTATGAACATGAGGCACTTCTCCTTCATATCCAACTGCCCATAAGTCACTGCTGCCTGAAAAACAAAGACAATGGTGTGCACGAGTTCATATCATGCAAAATTATCAAAGCCTTTCATTAACAACCCCCTAATATACAGATCAGTAGACTGAAGGGGTCAAACAGACTTGGCAGACTGGTAGAACAAAGTGAAATAAAACAAAGATAAATTGTCCAACTGACAAGCAGCATGTTAAAGATGAAAAGGAAAATGACAGAACAACATGGTCTTCAGTAATTACCTTCATTCAGTTATCTGTCCACGACAATGCAAATGTTTAAGGTTCCCTTAATGTAACGTGTAACAATGATTCAAACTATTCAAGATGCATGACAAAATATACTGTGACAAAAGGTTTGTTTCTTTTGGGAATATTCTAAGGGGAAACAAAATAAAATGCTTAATCATGGAATCTATAATGGATGAATCGGTGACAAGCTTGTGTTCCAGTGTAGCACAGCACAGGATCGGCCTGTATGCAGGGGAGGGGATTACTCTTTCCGTTTTAATCTATTTTACCTGTTTCTTCTAAATCTTTCCATTGACTGATATCAGTTTATATCAGATATCAGTTTTCTATACTTTCCCTGGAATTTTTATCCCAGTTTTCCCATCTCTCTGGATCCCATTTCTCTCCTGGTGTGCCCATTCGCGGATTCTCATTCCTTTGTCCTCTTTAACCATCCCTCTGTCTCAAATTTCATTCTCTCCTTCATTGTCCCACAAACCTAAACAGGGTTTCACATCTGAAAAATTGCGTTTTCTATTTTCCAGTGTGGATTTAACCTCTACTTGTTCCTTTGCAGCTTGCAAACTGACACCGCTCCCCACTCCAACCTATTTTAAAGACTTTGTCTGAAAGCAGAAAGAGAAGAGAAAATAAACTCAGTGTCTTTTATTACATATGCATTGCTTAGCTACTTTTAGGTTGTTTACAATTTACAGGGGCTTTTTTCCTGCTTGTGCTTTGGAGCTATTATCCTCTGACTGTAAAGTGAATGTTGATTTCTATATTAAAAATATATGTTAACAGAGGTAACAAAAAGAGGAAACAACTAGAGAGGTTGAGAAACAAGCAAATATCCCCTGAAACTGGCTTCATTGTGACTCTGGAAAATCCAGAGATTAAACTGGCAAACCCCTCTATAACATTCAATAATGTCCATTTCAATGTCCTTAAATCAGTAACAGGCAGAAAAGGAATTAGCAATACCGCTGTGGAAGAACATTGAGAGGTAGGTTTTAGGCCTCAGACTCTACATTTCTTAAACACAGATCAAATACCAATTTTCATTTCTACATCAAGACTGCTGCATAAAAACAGCTGGGTCATATACAGTTAATAGTCAAGTTTCAATGCAATAAAAGCCCAACCCCGCCAGAGTTATATACAGCCAAGAGACCAAGGAATGTCTTGGAAAAAACAGATAAGAGTTTAAATTCCAAACTTATCAGAAAAACTTTCCACATCTTACTGTATATTATTTCATTTTACTGTCACACTCAAGGAAGTGGTATAATTATAACACCGCTTGACTTAGAGGAAAAATAGGTTTAAAAATCTGTAATAAAAATATAAAAACACATACTGTACCCTGCCGCAGGATAGGAAAATATATTGTGTTCTGTCATAGTTCAGAATTCAGTTCTGAGCAGTATTATCATTTTTTATTTTTCAGTGCTTGTAGTCCCTCCTGTGCCAAATTACAGGATAATTAACTTTTATCAGGACTTTATTCAAGGTTTTGTTAATGGCCATGTTTGGACAAAGATTAAATACATACAGTATCAAGAACATCAAGCAGAAAATACGGTAAAGCCAAATAAAAATATAACTACCAAAGAAAGACGATACTGTCGTATATGATCCCTATAAAATAAACATATCTATAAAAATGATTATATTTATGATCAAGCTTTTGGAGTTTAAAACATCAGCCTCAATTCTATATTTTTTTTATCTTATATATAACGTCTATTCATAGACAGAATACTTACAAAGCAAACATGAAAATACTTCAATCTGTAGTTTTAAAACAGAAGTTGTATTTCTAACGTTTATCTTCCCATTACATTGACTATTTTATTGTATTTAATTTTTAAAAAGGATAGTTTCTCTTTGCCACAGAGTTTCAGCAACAAACCGTATTGATATTTTCAAGTAGTACTCATTAATAAAATAACTCTTTCAGGAACAGGGGACTTGTCAACAGATGAAGAACAGCCATGCAGTCAGTTTCCTCTCCGTACTGGATTAAATGTTAATGCAGACAATTTTAGTAGGATACATGTAATTTATGGAAAAATAAAACAGTAACAGTTCAATGGACTGTCTTGCTGCCATTATTAGGTTGAACATAAAATTGAGATCGGTTTTATAAGATAGATGTAGAATAAATGTACAGTCTTGGTGAACCACTTTCATTATTTCATTCTTTATCTTTGTGAAGAAAGTTAATAGAAATCTTTCACTATAAAAAGTTTGACAGGATGCTTTTTAATACTGAAAAGCCTGCAAGACTACTGTTTATAACAGGGATGGGCAAGCGGGGTCCCAGAGGTCCAGCCAGTCTGCAGGTGTTCGTTTCATCTGCACTGTTAACAAGCCAGATCAGCTCATTGTTGGCTAAATGTGATTGATTTAACAGCCTCTTCTAGCTCTTCAGCTGCTGGAGCTTTCAAGAGACCTAGAGAACCTACAGACATACTGGATTTGTAAGAACAGGATCACCCCTCCCCGGTTTAGAAGAATGTTTATTTAGCTTTCTTTTCCAAGTAATCAAAGGCGACAGCTTTAACATAGTCTTTCCCTGGTTTGTCAGGCACAGTCCTGATTTATTTCGGCTCTGCCCTTTGCAGTTACTGTACGCGTAGCATGCTGAGCCAAGTCTTGTCAGCTTTTTATAAATAAAGATCCTAAGCACAAATATCACAAAAAACGAAATTATAATCTGTAGTTATTTTACTTTCTACTAAGCTTCTACTAAGCTCAAACAGTAGCAGAATCTTCCCTTCCTCTTTCAAGCAATGTTACAGTAGAATTAGATATTAATTAGACAATAAAAGACACATAATCAGTAGACATCTAATGCATCAGTATTGCATTTAACTGGAGTTATAATTGTCTTCCTTCCCGCCTCTACAGCAGTCCTCAATATAGAATGGTAGAGTCCCCTTTCCAATTCCATTACGAATACGAATCCATTACGAATTTCTCATTTGCACTTAAAGGTCATGCAGATAAATTCACCTATCACAGTAAAAGCAAGAGGCACCACCCACTTAAGTAAACAATGACATAAAAACAATACAAAGAAAAGTGGAAGCAAAAAAACTTTAGTTTATTAAATTAGTAAAAACAAACAGGTGAATCACAATGGTAGGAGAGCTGTGGAGCAAAGTTGTGGTGATATGATTCTGGTAGTCACTTCTTTGTTTTTGAGGAAACTAAATTTGAGATAAGCTTATACATCCACTTACATCTACAAGACTGTAATCTCCTAGGAACAAAGCTGTGGATGGAATTTTACTCATAAAATGAATGTAGGGGCACAAAATGTAAAATTAAAACACAAAATATCAGATCTTTGGCTGTCACAGATCTAAAACAAAACAAAAACAAAGTGTTTTATTTTCTGCTAAATTATACATTCCCTACAAAAATAAGTTAGTTTTCTCCCCCCTCGCATGCAAAATATAGTGACAAATTATATTACAGCTTTTAAGGGGACACTCTAAATACAGTGTCTTTGTGGGTTAATACAAAATGTTTCCTAAACCCCCTAGACTGCAATATACAGTAAGTGCAGAAAACTAGCAGCAGAATCAGACAGAACCTAACCAACATATTGAAAAGCAGGTGCCATACTTGTCGTAATAACAATTCAGCAGCTTCAGATAACTCAATTCTCTTCAGCAGAAACCAATGGTATTAATTCAGTGAGATGTTTGTTTTACAGAAAAAAAGGTATTCAAAAACCACAAGGTACAAACCAATCTTTTATTTTGCAATCTTAAACCTGTCCTGGATCACTTCCTTTTTTTGCAATTTGAGCATGATGCCCCACTTTCTGGGCAAAAGGTTGTGCTCAAAGACTATGTAAGATACGAAAGCACATCCTATCGCCACTGCCTATGGAAGTCACCAAGAATTAGAGAATCTAAGCATGAGAGGATTTTAAATATACGACAAAAGAGATCATTTACACCTTAGCTTTGTCAAGTGTTTTCTTTTTCTTCATTCAGCACATCAATGCCCTTCACAGGTCAAGCCGATGGACTCCAAGCTCAGTTATGTCATACTAGCACAGTTCTAGCTAAAGTGATCACATCCAGGAAAACACAGATACGCACACTGAAGGACCCACTTTTTAAATATCACTCAACTATTTACACAATTAAGCCCTTTTCAAAATGCTGTGTTAAGATACATGTCAAATCTCAAAAGGTAGAAAAGACTCTTTTGGTAAGCTGGGTTTAATGAAACTGTTCTCCAGTAAGAAATCAGCTTAGGATAGAAACTCAAAGATAAAACCCCAAAAAGTGACAATTTAAAGACAATTTAAAGTACTCCAGGTTTGTGACTAGATTAAATCTGCAAAAAGCAGTAACAACACATCATCACAATGGGTCTTATATTATGGTCTACTAGTTCACAATATTAAAAGTATTTTCCTGTGATCATAAATCATGGTTTGTGAATTTTACTTTTGCTGACACCATGATTTTACATACTAATGAAGCATTCTTTTTAAAGAACATTAAATTCTCTCAACAAGAAAAGAAACTGCAACACACAAAGATTTCCAGCTCAGTGCCTTTTTATCTTTACAAAGGTTCTCAGATTCATCATAAAATTAACTGGAATGAGGTGGATATGGCTTATCATTCGTTTAATAGATAACAGAGAAAGTTATGATTTAATAAAACTAAAATGTTAACTCTCTGCACTGCCATTCTATGGATCACAGATGACTTACCAGCAATCACAGTATTTCCAAAAATAAGTTGTAACC